TCTCACAACCAGTGCTCCCATAGGAGGCAGCCGTGGAGGCTGAAGATGCCATTGGCCCAATTCAGCATGATCCTAGAGAAAACCAGGTATCTATGTGGCCTGCAACCATGGAACAGTTAGAGGAAGGCTGTGCGACCTCTGTGAGGCTTTGTAGGAGCAGAGACTCACCTTAGGGAAGAGCCAACAATTCCTCCCTCTAAGAGGGCTGGCCAGAAGCTGTGAAGACAGCAACACCCACTGACTCAGCAGCTTCACTAGCGGTGCCCACTGACTCAGCAGTTTTCCTGCTGGAGACTCACCCCGAGGAGATGCTCAACAGAAGGAACAGGCCATATGCATCAAGATGCTCACTGTGGCATTACTCGAAATAGCCCAGGCAGGGAGCCACCCAGCTAGCCTGCAGCAAGGAAGCATCAACTACAAAGAATAGTATGCGCCTATTAAAAGCCACATGTGCAGCCATGTGGAAACATGGGCTTGACCTTGATGACACAACCGAGGGAAACAGTGGTCCATATCAGTTAGGACCTCTGTTTTCCTTCCTGCAGGGACCCGCAGACGTGAGAAGAGCTGTGTTGGAGCAGTGTTAGAGTATGGGAGACTTCTGTCTGAATCACTTGAACGATCACTGTTTACTGTGGTCTGGGTCAGCTAGGAGGTGTGTGTGGGCGGGGCGGGGGCGTTTCCTATTCATCTCCAGATGTCTGTCAGTCTCCCCAGTATCCTTCGAAACTGTCACAGCATCACTTTCCAACACAGGCAGTTAACAAAAGGAGGAAACGAGCGAGGGCAGCCTCCCCCCCTTCACTCCAGGTGCCAGTCCCACCTCCAGTTCTACTACATGCATGCTAGAAGAAACCCAAATGAATCATGCTAGTGACATTTGGTCTTATAATGTCTTAGTTTACTCTGCAGACAAAAAACATTTTAAAGACCCATGTTTTTGTTTTTTCAAGGGAGGGGTTGCGAGTAGAGTTCGGACTTGTTACTAGTCTGGTGACCAATTAATTAAGTGTGCCTAATTCTGAAGGCAGGAAGCTAAATCACGCAGAGCCGAAAGCGACAACTCTCCTACCTACCCCATGTCGTCTCTACCAGCACGATTTTAGCTTTACAGCTAAAAATCTCTGCCAGGAAACCTAATAAAAGGAAGCAAAAATATTTCTGTTACGACCAAGCTGCCATTTGAGAAAGACTTTTAAATATGTTCTCCTATATGTGTAAATCTGACAGCAGACGCATAATGAAAGCCCCAAGGGAAAGCTTCCTTTTAATCTTTTCAAAGCACACCAATAAAGCATCCTTTAAGATGTGAGATGATGGATTAATACTCCTTAGACTGTTCTGAGTTTCTCCAAGCCAGAGCGCTGCTGCTAAGAACACAGCCGGGACCCAGAGGAGTGAGAACTGCGGTTTTCATCGTTAGTTCACTGATCCCAGATGACGCAGGTAGCCGTGTATCAAAGGCCACCCTGGCATCTGCCTTAAATGCTGTTGCTTTGGGTATTTGTTAAATGGAGGATTGCCGACACCAACACGTTCATATTAAAATAAACTTAGTCCCCCACCCTGCAGGAAATTTGTCACCGGGAGTGAATGGGAGAAGCAGTAATTACCCAGGTTTTCAGATCTGTGTGAGCAATCGGGATGAATAATCGAGAGTATAAAGTGGACTTGTTAAACATCTTGCTTGAGCTCCTCAGACTTTCAACTACAGCTGAATAATCACAGGCACATTTCCCCACAGGGGCTGTGCTGTGTGAACACGTGTGTGCTTACACAGTTGCAAAACGTCCAGCACAGGATATGGAGCCCTGTTAAAGCCAAATGTTAGGAGAAATAGTCCCTCTCTGTGATGTTCCATCTGACCTTGAATGCACGTGGCCAACCGGAACCTTCCTTTACACTGCTTACTACTGAAGGCCAATCCCTGTCTTTTCTGTTGCTTCCCTGAATATGTGCTCTTGGGAGTGAGAGTCCGTGGACCACACTTCTCCAGATTGTCCCCTGCTTAGTAGGGCCCATCTCTGATTTTCTGTAATTTGTATTGGCTTTTGCCTATCTATGACCTACAGCAGCTTCTAACTCATCTTCCTGGAATATCTGTGTGACTCCTTTGAGCTTTTTATATATATATATATATATATACTTAATCAGTTGCTGGCCTGACTAGCAAATTGGTTCCAATCTTAGTGTCAGATTTATGCATGTATACAGGCAGACAGACAGACAGATATACACACATACAAGCAGATACACATCACTAGTATTTCAGTTTCCAATAAGGATATTCCCACTGCTATGTGTATGAAATTACTGTAACATACACCACACAAATTCAGCTCTGGGTTGAGGTGAATCCTTCATTAGCCATGTGACCTTGTATAAATCTCCTAATACTATACCACACAGGCTTGAGTGAAGGTCCCTTCTTTCTGGTCATCTGTAGTGAGGATGGCTAACATATTATGTATCTTGGCTGCTCACAGTGAAGCATGCTTATAGAACACGTGGAACACAGGTTAACCTTTCAAACCATAGCACTGGGCCTGACACACACAATACTTTGTAGTTATGAAATGAGTGAAGGGTTGTCTATACGAAAACCACACAGATCATTTATCTGAGCCAGATAAACAACATCGAAAGTCCTCATTTCATTAGGCGGGGTATATAGTCGGACCCCTGAATCCCACACTGTTGCATGACTCACACACCCTATGGTGTTCGTTGATCAAGTAAAACCCAGAACATGATAGTCTTCCTCTTCCCAGATGAGGGGCAGACTAGAGGACCCCAACTATCCACCAATGACTGAGCTTTGGTTCCCTGCGTGGTTGCACCCACAACTACATCAGTTATAATAACAACTGGATATTTAAAGGGAAGGACATATATAAGCAGAAACTTAGCTGCCATATGCAGCTCTCCACTGAAATCTCAATCAAGTACATCTTTCACAGAAAAGGCTGAAAGAATAATCACACTGGCTGGGGACTCAGCAGAACTTACTGGCTGACATTAAGAGGACCAATTTAAACCACCATCCCCAAGTGTCGCAGCAGGCAGGCAGCTGGTAGACACTACACATATGGCAGTTTTGGTGTCCCCGCAGAGGGCCAGTTCAATTCAGAGCCATCCACAGTCTGGTACTAGCGTTGGCCTGCAGATTTGGGAAGCAGCTTGCTAGGTCCTTGCTAACATAGCCAGAAGCTTTGGTGTAGCCTGTCCACATTGCCTGCCTACCCAATCCTGATGGTAGATTAAAGACTGAGGCATGAAACAATTTCCAAACAAGAGGGGAAGCCCCCGAAGCCTGAAGGACAATGATGCTCATGAGAGACACAGAGTGAGCACAGGTCACAGAAATAGTCTCTTTGGATAGATTCACGGACTGTAGGGGAAGAGGAACTGGCACCACCTTCCGCTTATCTTGCAGTTTCACCAGGGAGCTAGAACATGTCACTGGGAGAACGGTACTGTGGTATAGGTGTACCTATATGTAGAAAAAGCAACAGGGAGTGTTTACGAGACGAGTATATGTCAACAATAAACTATAAATACATGATGTCATCCTCCAAGATTAAGCATCTTTAGTACTTTTAAAGCACTTAAAAAAAACCCCTCAAGTTGCTATAGCAACTCGATGCAGCTCTTAAAAGGGGATTTTGAGGGGGGTCATTTTATATCTTCAATCACCATAACAACATGATATATTTTTAAAGGATATTTTTATCTAATCTGTGTAGACTTTGGACTCAGTCCATATTTGCCTTTTCTATTTAAAATAATCAGATCAAGCATGACATGGGAGAAAAACGATTGGAGGCAAGGGAGTGCTTTCACGGATGTACATACACACAGGGAGAGAGATGCAGAGAGACCTCTGCCTCTGTGCACATCCTGAACAAACCTGCCACCCCTCTCCTGGCCTCCAAGCAGCAGTAGGCAGGAGTCCACGCCCCGCACTCTGAACTGGCACGAGGAAAGGGTGTTTATAAAGTTCCTCACTTCTTTGCCCTGAACGTGCAGCCCCTTCCTCCCCAATCGCACCAGCAGAAGAGAATGTCTTCAGATGACTATTGTGGCCAGCAAGTGCTTCTCTTACCCTGAGACACAAACAGGGGTGGGTGAGACACAACCAAGCCTTGTCAAAGAATGTTTCTTCTGCTCTCTGTTTAGCTAAATAAATGGGGGAAGGTGGCCGTTTCATATGCTTCCAAACGCCTGAGACGAGGAGTAGGTGGGAGGGGGTAGACACAGAGGTGGCTGGAAATTGTCTCTCCAGAAGGAGCGCCAGGCGACTTCAATCTATCTGAAAAGGAGGGCTGGGGTCTCAAGAATCTGCACATTTCCTGCAAGGTTAAACAAACGTGAGCTGTTTATACCACAAGCATAACGTAAAGGCGACCATCCCATGGCTGTCCACTATTGGTTGCGAAGAGGGGAACAAACACATGAGGTCAAGAACTCTGAGAAGTTAGGGGTGTGGGAAAGGGGCCACCAAGGTGAATGATGTAAAACAGTTCAGGGGAAGGACTGGCTTGGGAATAACGGACTTTACTGTGAGGGGGTGGGGCAGTGTGGTCAGGAGAAGAGAATGTGAGGAGGAAATAAAAACGCTAGGAATGGACGAAGAAATGGCTTTTAAAATCACCTGCTGAGGATGGTGAGGCCTGGGTGGGTGGGCAATAGCAACCCTCGACACATGCTCTCTCTCACAAACGCCCTTACAGAGCACAAAACCAAGGAAGGAGCAGAGCCCAGACATGGAGGGCTCAGAGTACTTGGCACCTAGCTGACACACTGATGGCAGCTAAAGATGGTTCATTTGGGCCACCTTTCGCTCCGAATGCAGGGAAAAAGAGTAGGAGGCCCAGGGGATGGAGAGCGAGACAAAAGTAAGCAAAGGGTATCAGAGAGGACCCATCCTCAGATCGATGGAAAGGACAGCGAGTGACAAACGCGCAGAGGAAAGACGCGCGGGACGCGCCGCTCACCTATGGTCGACACCACGGTGCCCACGAAGTAGAAGGCTCCGGGGAAGTCCCAACGCGGGCGCAGGGCGTCGGCACGGACCCCGGCGGCCAGTGCGGCCTCGTAGTGCCGG